GGGCTCCGACGATCCTTCCGCATCAGCCTTCCAAGCAGCTGGAACTACAGGCGCGTGCTACCACGCCTGGCTCATTTTTGATTTATTGTAGAGATGAGGTCTCGCCAAGTTGCCCAGGCGGGTCTCGAACCCGCAGGCTCAGGCAATCCACTCACCTCGGCCTCCCAAAGGCGCGGGATTACAGGCTGTGCCCTTTCAAACTTCAATGGTTTTCTCTTTATCTGAGGATGAGTCAGTTGGGGGCTGGCTGCTTTCTTTCTGCCATCAGGTTCAATACATGCCATACTTTGTCTGGAGAGACTTTTACTCAGGTGTATAATTCCTGGTTCTGAATTCTTTTTTTTGAGTAGAGGTCTCACTCTATCATCCAGGCTAAAATACAGTGATAATGATCATGGTTTGCAGCAGCCTCAACCTCCTGCGCTCAGGCAATCTTTCTACCTCAGTCTCCTGAGTAGCTGGGATTACAGGAGCACACATTCATGCCTGGCTAATTTTTTTTTTTTTTTTGGTAGAGACGAGTTCTCACTATGTTATCCATGCTAGTCTCAAACTCCTGGGCTCAGGTGATCCTTTTGCCTCAGCCTCCCAAAGTGCAAGGATTACAGGCATGAGCCCCGACATCTGGCTTCTTGTTTTGCATATTCTTTAAAGTGTCTTTGATTGTGTTTAGTTCATTTGCTGTATACTCCTGACTTTGGGCTTTTAACCTTGTTATGAGTAAGTTTTATGGAGTAAGGCCCAGGAAGAGCTAGCTATCTTACGTGGTTTGTGACACACTGTGTGTTGTGCGTTAGTCTAACCCTCAGAATGGCCCTGAATAATGAAATATCTTATCTGTGAGTTTAAGAGTCATGGAAACTCTGGACTTCTAGGAGAATAATTTTCCAAGGTCTCAGATCTCCTAAGGGGTAGACCTTGGATTTGAACATTGCTATTTCTGACCTCAAAGCCCATGCCTTTTCCACAACATATTAACCCTGATAAAGGGTATTTGAAAGTTCACCTTTTTGGCTTTTGTAAATGTCTTTTAGAAATCTCAGTTCAGGCCGGGCTCAGTCTCAGCCTGTAATCCCAGTAATTTGGGAGACCAAGGCAAGTGGATTGCCTGAGCCTGTGAGTTCGTGACCAGCTCCAGCAACTTGGCGAGACCTCATCTCTACAGTAAATGAAAAAAAAAAAAAAAAAA